TGACTTATTTCACTCAGCATAATGTCCTCCAAGTTCATCCATGCTATGCGTGTTTTGCAGATTCTACATTATTTAGTGTTGCATAGTATTCCATTGTGTGTATGTCCCATAATTTGGTTATCCATTCCTCAGTTGATGGACATCTAGGTTGTTTCCATTTTTTGACTATTGTAAATAGTGCTGCAATGAATAAGGGTGTGTATGTATCTGTTCTTGTCATGGCTCTCACTTCTTTAGGGTATATACCTAGCAATGGAATGGCTGGGTCAAATGGTATCTTTCCATCTACTTTTGATGCTTCCTGCATTGTTCAGTATTTTGCCCTTAGAATCCTTTGATATTGCAGTTGAAGGCTTGAATTTTTTTCTTCACTTCTTTCAGCTTAAGAAATGCTGAGTGTGTTTTTCCCTTTTAGTTTTCCAATTCTAGGTCTTTGCATATCTCATTATAATATTTTACTTATCTTCTCCAGCTGCCTTTTGAGATCTTCATCCTTTCTTGCATTCACTTTAGCTATTCTCTGTTCAAGACCAAGTTTCAGAGTCTCTTCTGATATCCAGTTTGGTCTTTTTTTCCTTTCCTGTGTTTTAAATGACCTTTTTCTTTCTTCATGTGTAATGTTCTTGATGTCATCCCACAAGTAGTCTGGTCTTTGGTCGTTGGTGTTCAGTGCATCAAATCTATTCTTCAGGTGGTGTCTAAATTCAGGTAAGATACAATCAAGATTGTATTTTGGCTTTTGTGGACTTGTTTTAATTTTTTTCAGCTTCACCTTGAACTTGCGAATGAACAATTCACAGTCAGCTTCTGGCCTTCTTCTGACTAATGATATTGAGCTTCTGTGTTAACTGTTTCCACAGATGTAGTTGATTTGATTCTTGTTTCTTCTGTCTGGTGAGGTCCACTTGTATAGTCATCGTTTATGTTGTTGTAAAAGTTATTTTCAATGAATAAGTTGTTGGTCTTGCAAAATTCTGTCATGTAGTCTCTAGCATCATTTCTGCAACTACAGATTTGCCTTGGTTTTTCAAAATTTTGCATTACAATTACCAGTAATTATCAGTGCATCTTGATTACATGTTTGATCAATTTTAGGATGCAGAAGTTGGTAAAAATCTTCAGTTTCTTCATCTTTGGCTGTAGTGGTTGGTTATTTAGTGGTTAAATAATAGAAGTATTAACTGGTCTTCCTTATAGCCATATGGATATTATCCTATCACTGACAGCATTGTACTTCAGGATAGATCTTGTATTGTTCTTTTTGATGATAAATGTGATGTCATTCCTCTTCAATTTGTCATTCCTGGCATTGTAGACCATATGATCACCAGATTCAAAATGGCCAATACCAGTGCATTTCAACTTACTAATGCCTAGAATATCAATCTTTATACCTTCAATTTGATTTTTGATGACTTCCAATTTTCTCAGATTCAGACTCCATACATTCCACATTCTAATCATTAATGGATGTTTGCAGCTGTATCTTCTCATTTTGAGTTGTCCCACATCAGCAAATGATGATCTCGAAAGCTTTAATCCACCCACGTCATTAAGATCGACTCACTTTAGGAGACAGTTCTTCCCCAGTTGTATTTTGAGTGCCTTACGACCTGAGGGGTTCATCTTCCAGCACTATAGCAGACAATAGTTCACTGCTGTTCATAATGTTTTCCAGTAATATACCAGACAGTGTTTCAGTGCTATTCATAAGATTTTCAGTGGCAGCTTTTTAGAGGTGGATGACCCTGTCCTTCTTCCCAGCCTGTCTTAGTCTAGAAGCTCTGCTGAAACCTGTCCACCATGGGTGACCCTGCTGGTATTTGAAATACGTGTGTCATAGCTTCCAGAATCAGGGCAACACACAAACCACCACATATGACAAACTGACAGATGAGTATGACAAACTGACAGATGAGTGATGGAAAGCATTCAGATTAGTAAATGTTATAATGAAAATTGTAGACATCCATAAATATTTTTTAATTTATATTATCATTATATATAATTAGTAATATTTTTTCTTTTTCTTTATACTTTTCAAAGTACTTTTATTAATTACTTAATTATTCAATAATAATGGTTATTCTAAAGTTCAAATAACCACTATCATCTTTTATCTTCTTTTAAACAAATAAAGCAACTTAAGTTCTCTCTAGTGGATATGTTATGGAAATGAGTTGGGACTTGGTAAATGTATACTTTTTCCATTATAGGTGAGAGTATCTTAGTTTGTAAGGACTCTGAAAAGTCAAAAGGCATAGCTCTCCTTCAAGGATCTCTAAAACCTGTTCACAGCTGTCTACGAAGACAAGAGGGAGAGGAAGTAACTGCCAGCATGATAAGAGCTATTCTGGAGGTAAGAGAGAGTTTACTAAATTACTATTTGCTCTTTTGCTCCTGTATTGAAATGGTAGAACTTTAGCATGCTAAAATCTTAACTTTGTGTTTCTTTGTTAATATATTATGATGTTTTTAGCCTTCTGAAATCTGAATCTTTTCCATTTTATATAGTTATTCTATGGAGTGTAACATAGTGTTATATCAATCCATTTCAGAACAGTAGATTAAAACCCTAATGCCAGAGGGTTGTTTTTTATTTTTGAAATATTTTTATTATTTTCTTAATTTTAAAAAATATGACAAAATGGATCCTAATTACTCCATCCAGATAATACTTGTTGACATAGAAATAAAGTAAGTTATAAATGCACATGGTTAGAAATTTCAAACAGTATAGAAAAATCTAACATGAAAAGTAAAATTACTTTCTGTTCAGAGTTCTGAAAGGTAACCTCTGTTAAGTATTTCATGTATCCATCCAGGGGAGTTTTTCTATGCATATACCATCTGTAATAGTTTTGACTTAATTATTAGTGACAGTGGTATGGTCCTCATATCTATATTCTTTTTTTTTCCTTTTAACTGTCAATTTGGGCAAAAGAAAAATACAAAAGATAATCTTTGATAACACATGGTATTATTGGTAAGGATATAGAAAGTAGGCACTTAATCAAATTACAAAAACTCTTTTGCAGGTTAACTTGACCATATCTATTACAATGAAAAATGTACATGTTCTTTTTTTTTCCAGCAATTTCACATCTAGGAATTTTACCTGGGGACATATTTGTGAAATTACATTGAATTATGTTTACAAGAATATTTATTATAGCACTATTAGTAATAAGAAAAAAATTGGAAACAATTAAAATACCATTAATACTAAAAAATTATGGTAAAACTAATGGTTAATAAGAAGAATGAGATAACTCTGTTTATGATAATTTGGTATGGTTTCAATATATATAAACTGAAATAAGCATGGGAAAATAGTATATACAATAGAATAATTTTGAGAAAATTATATCCATAAGTCACAGATGAACTTATCTTATTCTGAACCTATTTCCACCCTCCTTCTGGGTAGATAGAAAAGTATTCATTACTAGCATTCCTACATGCCTGTGTATTTCAGAAAAAAAGATGAAAATAATTGATTTGGTTTTCAGCCAGGAACAATCAGTGCCTCCTTTAAATATATCGCTAGTTCTGAAATTACAGATAATTTTAGTTTATGAGATTATGTTGTATCTAGTTTTTAAAGGAAACTTTTCATGTTATAAGTAGATGTTATTCATATTTTCAATGAATGATGATGGAAAAGTTAATGAAGAGTCTATTAAGACTCTAAGAATATTTTAAGAGAACACAATCACTTCATTTCTTTAATAAAATAATGAGTATCTGCTTGTCTTATAAAAAGTTATAGAAATTTTAAAACTTTTTCTATCAGATAATAGTTGGTGGAGTGGCAAGTACATCACAAGACATGCAGACTTATGCTTCCTGCACATTTTTGGCTGCAAGTATGAAAGAAGGGAAGCAGAAAAATCAGAGAAATCAAGATTCTGTACAACTTGAAGCAATTGAGGCCTGTTTGACGTGGCTGCTAGAGAATGAATTTATCCAAATTATAGAAGTTGGTGATGGAGCAGAAGGTAAATACGAATTCTCAGTTGGAACTTACTCACTTTTTCCTCTTTAGGGACATAGAGTTTGTAAGACTTTACTCAATAAACGAAAATTAACTTTAAGCAGTATATAAGATATTGACTTTTCAAGCAATGTATCACCTCATTTTTAGTACATCAGTGTTGTGTTCAGACTTTTAGCATAGCGCCTTCTCATATATATCCATGCAGTGGATAAGATTCTATTTGTTAACTTTACCAGAGCCTGGAGGCTTATAGGAGCTCTGGTAGTGTAGTGCCTGAGGCATTTGACTGCTAACCAGAAGGCTGGTGGTTCAAACCTGCCAGCCACTCCTTGGAAGGAAGGTTGGGGAATCTACTTCCATAGTGATACCACTTGGAAACCCAAGGAAGGGTTGCTGTGCATTGGATCCGACTAGACAGAAGTGTGTTGTGTTATGTTGTGTTGCGTTAGAGGTTTATTAAAGAACTCTGTTGGTACAGTGCCTAAAGGCATTTGACTGTTAACCAGAAAGTTGGTGGTTCAAGCCTACCAGCCACTCCATGGAAGGAAGATGGGGCAATCTACTTCCGTAAAGATTTACCACCTAGGAAACCCAATGGAGTTGGAATTGACTCGATGGCAGTGAGTTTGGTTTGGTTTTATTATAGAACGTACAAAGACAGTGTTTTATTTCATTTAGTTTTTATTCATTCATTCATTTATTTAAATTAATTAATTACAGAAATAAATTTTAACGTATTAAGTATATTTAATTAATTTTTTAAAATTCATTATGTATTTCTTATTTAATTTACCTATTATAATTATTCTATAAATAATTTTATTTAATGTATTTTGTTATATGCAATATATTTATTTTACTTTGATTTTTAAAATTTAATTATATTTCATTTTAGTTTTTTGTTTATTCACTTATTTTATTATATCTATTCATTACATTTTATTTATCTTAACATTTGCTTTCCCATTCCTTCACCCTCACTTTTTCATGCCTGAATCAGGAAAAGTTTATCATCCTACACATCTTGGTTCGGCTACTCTTTCTTCTTCACTCTCTCCAATGGATACTTTAGATATTTTTGCTGACCTCCAAAGAGCAATGAAGGGATTTGTTTTAGAGAATGACCTGCATATTGTCTATCTGGTGAGTTTTGTTTTCTTCACTAATACATTGGTGAAAATGGGGAGAAAATACATAGATAGAATACTAAGGATTAAAGATATTTTAATATAACATCTTGTTTGTTTTCCTTTACTGAGTTAATAGTGGTAAGAATGGAGAAGAAGAGAGTTGTTTTAAAGTATGAAGCTAAATGTTCTAGTGACTTTTTAATCAATTTGCCTATCGACTTATCTGTCTGTTTCAACCTCCTTTGAAAAAGGATGTGAGGTGCTCTATAATGTATACATATATAATTAATATATATGTAATATAATATACCTACATTCCAATATATAAGAGAACAGTGAAGCAAATAAATGATCCTTTTTCCTTTTAGGTCACACCAATGTTTGTGGATTGGACTACTATTGATTGGTACAGATTTTTTTGTTTATGGGAGAAGTTGCCAACTTCTATGAAACGTGTAGCAGAGCTAGTTGGAGTTGAAGAAGGGTTCTTGGCTCGTTGTGTGAAAGGGAAAGTAGTAGCTAGAACTGAGAGACAGCACCGGCAAATGGCTATCCATAAAAGGTAATCCAGTGATCAGGAGCCTGGACTCTCCAGTATTTCAAGCAGTGTCTGGTTTACAGTAGATATCCAGTTTACTGTAGTCACTATCATCAGCAAAATTAAAATTTTGGCTGATTAAAGTACACTTATAAAATTTCCTGTATTTGTTATTTTATTTTCTACATATAGCTTATAGCTTAGTAGACGTATATATGAAAATGTTTTAAATCTGGACATCGAATTATTTCCCTTTCTTAAAAACAACATGAATCAGAACAACTGCCAATTTATTGTAGCTTAGTTTGAGATTATGCTTTTTTAAATTTTTTTTAGTCTTTCCTCCTTTCCCCTCCCACCCCTGGTAACCATCAAAGAAAGTTTCCTTCCATATATAAACCTTTCCTTGAGTTTTTACAATAGTGCACTAACACTGTGTGATTGTTTCCTCCAAGTTCATCCATGTTATGTTGTGTTTTGCAGATGCTACATTATTCTTTAGTGTTGCATAGTATTCCATTGTGTGTATGTACCATAGTTTGGTTATCCATTCTTCTGTTGATGGACACCTAGGTTGTTTCCATCTTGTTGCTATTGTAGATAGTGCTGTGATGAACATGGGTATGCATATATCTGTTCTTTTCCTGGCTCTCACTTCTTTAGCATATGTTCCTAGTAATGGGATTGCTGGATCAAATGGTATTTCTAATTACAACTTTTTAAGGAATTGCCATACTGTTTTCCACATTGGTTGTATCATTTTACAGTCCCACCAGCAGTGTGTGAAAGTCTCTCCACATCTTCACCAGCATTTGTTATTTTCTGTCTTGTTGAACTTTGCTACTAGGGCTGGGCAAGATGGTATTCCATTGTTGTTTTGATTTGCATC